CCACTCCCTTGAGTAACCCCCAGGAGGTGCTCAGGGCAGAGCCTGGACCCGAAAGTCACCCAGTGACTCCAGTCCCCTGAGGGGTGGTGCAGGGACAGCGTGAGCAGGGCGGGGAGTCCTGGGGGACAAGCCAGTTCCTACAGAGACGCGGGTTCACTCCTGCCTCTTGACGGGTGCCAGGACGTGACCCCCGAACCCCAGCTCTCAGCATTAGGCAGACAGCCTGCCCCGAGACTGCAGACCCACCGTGTGCTAGGTGGTCTGCAAGCGCCATCCACCCTCCCTGGCCACCCAGAGGCGGGGACCTGCCCAGGGCACGGATGAGGACTGGGGCAGGGGAGGCCTGCAGTCGGAGCTGCGGTGAGGCTGGCCATCCAGCCCCATGCGGGCCCTCTGTGCTCAGCAGACGGGGCTTGGGGACATGGGGACCCAATGGCTCCTGCCTCACCTTGTCCCACCCCTGAGCCCACAGGTTTCATCCTCCAGCCCTGGGACACCCCTGAGGGGGTAGGTTCCCCGACTGCGCAGTGGGGAGCCATTCCCAGCAGTGGTTTGTTCCTGACACAAAAGCCCTCCTCCCTCGGGAAACCCGCCGTCCACAGGCTGCCCTTGTTCCCCCTGGCCCCGCGTCAGGGCCCGTGCCCAGCAGGGCCCGGGAACCTGAGGTGGGAAACTCTGCCCAGGCCGCCTCCCAGCCAGGGCCCCCAAAACCATGGGGGGCCCCTTTTAGGAATCCAGGGGACAGACAGGGCTCAGCACCCTGGGGCGAAGAGCACTGACCCCGGCCATGGGCTCCCCCCTGCCCTCATGAGGACCCCTCGGGAATCTATGGGTTGGGGGGCTCAGCTGGGGGCCCGGCCACCTCCTCCCACGAGGGAGGTTCCTGCTTTACCCACTCCCTCCCGCCAGCCCAAGTCCAGCTAATGGAGCCCGATTGCCTTAAAAGGAAACCTACTTCCCAGACCATCTGGAGTTCAATAGGGACGACTGGCTCCCTCTCAGCTGCCTCCTCAGGTCTGGGGGCAGAGGCCCCACAGGAGACGGGGGGTCAGGGATCAGGAGTCAGGCAGTTCAGAGGTCGGGAAAGGGGATCTGGACCCATTTCTTCCCAGCCGAAGGGTCAGGCTCCCTTCCTCTGCGCTTCTTTGTGCTCATCCCTAGGTCAGACCATCCGCTGACTCAGAGTCTCGTTCTGAGACTCGGTCAGGGGGAAATAACAGCAGCGGCCCAGGGCCTGGTGCAGGGGTCCCGCTCCTGAGGGCCCCCCAGGGCCGGACGTGCGCTGTCCTTGCCCCAGGCCATGTCTGCTCCAGGTGCCGCCCCTGTGATCACACCAGCCCTGAGCCCCGGGTGTTTTGGTTTGTCCACTTCACCGCGTCTACCATCTCCACTAAGCACTGGGCTTCATCTCCTGCAGGATGGCTGGAGACACCCAGGCAGCTATTCCCCTGAAATGTCAGGGCCTTCAGGGCTGCCATAAGCTAGAAGTCCGGGACTGGATTCTTCCGACCAGCGCCCGGGTCGGCCCGCTGGCCCCAGCCATGTCCAGCTGCAGCATGAAGATCGGCCTGCGGCTCCTCTGTCCTGGGAGCAGAGACCCAGCCGGGCTCCGGGGCTGCGGAGGACAGAGACACTCATGTTCCGCCAGCGGCGTGCAAATGTCAGGCTGAGGTGACGCCCAGGGCGCTCACGGTTCATGTCTAAGAAACCACCTCGCTGATGTCAGCCCTTAACCACTGGCCGCCAGCGTCTGCGGGAAGGTCTCCCTTCCTCAGATCAGTGACCTGACGGCATTCCCCACCGCGTCTTTGTCCCCAGTGGAAAGCCCCAAACTTCTTTGTTCCAAAGCCTTCTGCTCCCCAGGGACAGAGGGCAACTCCTGGGCACAGAGCACAGGTCCCCCCCCAACTTGGTTTGGCCGAAAACTGTCAGGTGTTTTTCCACTTGGGCTCGCGGGGCTGGGCGAGGCCTGGCCAGGTGCACAGGGGAGCTGTCATCCTTTCCAACCTGCTGCCCAAGCCTTCCCCAGCCCCCCACCGGAGGGCAGCCAAAGAAGGAGGGGTGCCCGGAGAAACAGTCCGGGAAACGGTCCTGCCCTAAAAGGAGTGGTCAGTCACTGTGGGGGCGCAAGGACCAACATGGGGTGCAGGCCCGGCCTCAGCGTCACACGGTTCCTGGAACTCTGCAAGCGACTCGGCCCGCCAGCACCCCTATGCGGACCCCACGGTGCTCCAACCCCGTGTCACCCTGCTCCCTCTCTCCCCGCTCTGAGTTCTCTTCAAGTCCAGGCCCTGAGGCCCTTGTGGGGCAGTGACTGCACCCCTCTTGCCTTTACCAGCAGGACACTCCCCGCAGGGTTCAGAATCTGAAGGTCAACAAAAGTAGAAACAGCGGGCTAGGATTTAAGCATTTCCAAAATGTCACAGGAAGCCCAATATTGTAACAAGATCCCACAGATTAACCAGCAGATAAAGTTCATTTGCTTTCATCTGGGATGATGTCAACTTAGTAACAATTGGTTACCCACGCTGAAAAGGTCTGAATTATTTTCCTGAATTAAATTTTTAAAAGCAAAAACAAAGCACATGAGTCCTTAGCCCATGTAAAACAGGCTGCTTGCAGCTGACATGTCAGACAGCCCCCTCGAGCCCTGCAGAAAGGCAGCACCGCAGATGGGGGTCTGGTCGCCTCTAGTAGGAGTCAGACGCTGCCTCCCACCCAAGGAAGCTGTGGAAAAGCTAACTGCCTCCGTATTTACACTCTTTACCATACATGGAATCACTCGGCAATGACGTCAGATGAATTCCTGGGGAGCTGCGTAGTGCAAGCCCAGCGTCACCGCAGAAATTCCTGACCACTGGGTCTGCCGGCACCTCCCTTCCCCTGCCCCCAGCAAATCCCTGACCACTGGATCTGCAGGCGCCCACCCCTCCCCGCCCCACCCCAGCTCTGCACCTGGCTTCTCTTCAGTAAGGCTCTTTTCCAGGCTGCTTCTCTTTCCTGCCAACCTGACACCGAAATCCAAACACACACCAGACTTGGTGAGAGCGCATCCCCAGGACACAAGCCCCAACTTCCGGGGGGCCCTCCCCTCTCCCCACCCTGTAGAGGACCCAGTGATGGCAAGTTCTAACCCGACTTCTTCCACACTCACACTAGCAGAGCCGCATCCTCCCTAAGCAGTGTGGAAGCTACTATAAAGCTCTTTGTAAAGCACGTCTGTCTTGGGAGTGGCGGGTTTGTCCCTGGAGAGCTGATCAGAGACAGGAAAGGCAGAGTTACAGGGAGGCCGGGCATGGGCCTGAAAGGTGTCTGCCTGGGTCTCAATGGCAGCCGCAACCCCGAGCAAGTCACTGGTCACCTCTGAGCCCCAGCTTCCGCCCCACCTGCCCCAGACGAGACGGCGAAGGACACAGGCCAGTCCCAGGGCCGGGCAAGCACAGACATCAGCCAGCTGTTCTCTCGGGAAAGGCCAGCTCTCCTGCCAAGAGTCGTGACTCTTTCCTTATTTGCCGACACGCCCGAGTGTGGCAAGTGGCAACCTTTATTCTCCTCAGTGCCTCAATATATCCAATGCATGACTCCCGTGTCCTCTCCAAGCCAACCTCACAAGAAGCCGGCTTACAGAAACTTCAGCTCCAGCAGCCTCTCAAAGAAGCCTCCCCAGTCTGCCTTCCACCAGGAGGCCCACGGTTAATGGGAACCTGACCTGGGCCTTGGCGCCACCGGGCCAGCATGGGTTTGCAAGGGTCACACGTGCCCAGTAGGGCAGCTCGGCTACGAGCCCACGTCCACCCGTTCACTCACCAGATGTTCACTGCCCGCCAACCAGGTGCCAACACTATGCTCCTGGCCAGGGAGGTCCTGCCAGGACCACAAGGCAGAGGCCTGCTGTGCGAGAAGGGACACCTGGGCCAGGAAGGCAGGCGCTGGGTGGCCCAGGGGCAGGGGCGTGGCCCTGCAGACCTGTGCCCACAGCGTGGGTCTGCTCTTCCCTTTCTCCCCAGTGGCCCCCAGACCCTTTAAAGGGCGAGCGCTGCCCCTCCCCCTCCAAGCACACCCTCTCCGGAGTAAACCTCCTTCCTCGTCCGCCTCCTCCGCCCCAGATTTCCTCCCTGCAGGACCGGGTCCTTCCCTGGGAGATGGTGGGCAGTGCAGGCTTGGATCCAGCCACAAGGATAATCTCTCTGGAAAGAGGTGGCTGGGGCCCCCAGCCGGAGCCCACCTTGACCCTCAGGGGCTGACAGTGAGTGGCGGCAGGGGACAGGACCCCCAAGGAGTGCCCGGATCCCAGTTGCTCTCTGAGAAGACAGGGGGCGGCAGCTTCTGGGAGGCAGGAAGGCTGGGAGATAAGAAAACCGGCCCCGCCCTCCCAGGACCGCGGCCAAAGAAGCAGAGCCCCGGATCCAGGCCGGCAGAGTATCCGGGTCAGTCACCTCTCCAAGTCGAGGCCCCGCTTCCACCAGAGCCCCGCGGGCCTCCAGGAGCTACTGCGACAGGACCCCCAGGCCAAGCCCCCCCAGCTGGGAGGGGCTGCACACCCGTCCACGCCCAGGAGCAGGGGCGGGCCCCAGGCCTCCGGGGAGGGGCGGAGCCCACCCCCGCTCCCGTCTAGCCCCGGGTGTCCATCAGATCACAAACCACTTGACCAGACGAGCGTTTGCAGCATACTGCAAAGCTGTGAGCGCGGAGGACGCGCCTGCCTGCACGCTGTTTGTTGGGTAACGGGTTGCAACTTGCTTCAAGTGTGCTCACAGCTCCCCTTCCTGCCCCCGGCCTTCGGGACTGAGGCCGCAAACACCGTGGCTTCCTCCAGGCTTGGGTGGTGGTCCCTCTGCCGCGTCAAGTCCCGGAGAGTCAGGGGTGAAGGGGACGGGGCGACCTCCATCTAGCCCCTCGCAAAAGGGGAAACTCGCACCCGCTCTCCGGGCACAGCTGTGCCAGACGGGCCCCCCACCCTCCCGCCGCACGTTCCCCCCGGGCAGGAGCGGGTGGCACGGATGCCCTCATCCCCCGCCGCACAAGGAGCGTCAGTGCGCGCAGAATCGCCCATTGTCCCGCCGCGGGACCCGCCGGGGGAGGGAGCCGAGCCGTCCCGGGGCAGAGGCACGTGCGGGCCCTTTGCGTCCCGGCGCCCGGGGCAGGAAAGGGCCCCGCGCTAACTGAAGAGCCGCGGCCACTTCACCCCTCTCCTCCGCCCACGCCCACCCAGGGCCCCTTTTTCTTGAGACCCTCCCTGTAGCATCCCTGGAGGCGGCGGCGGGGCTGGAAGGCCAGGAGCGCTCTGCGCGCGCGGGCAGGCGCTCCGACGGGTGGGGGCCTGGGTGCTCGGCGGCGCGTGGGCCGAGCGTCCGGGTCCGGAGCGCACTCACCTGGCAGCGGCCGAGCGCGTCAGGCGGCGGGCAGGCGAGAGGGCAGACTCTGGAAACGAGGCTGGGCGCGCCGGCCCGCGCGCAGTTTTGTTCCGCTCTGGGAGGGCGTGTCCGGGCCGCGCCAACCCACAGGCTTTGCACACCGCACTAGGCTGGCGCCGAAGTCACCGCCCCGGGCTGATGTCACGGCGCAGGGCCGCCCCCAGGGCCGGGCCGCGCCGGCTGCGCTCCGGGGATCCCCTGTGCGCCCCGCCGCAGAGGAAGCAGCAGCTCACTGTGCCCGGAACTTCTCAGCGGTCCTGGCCGCTGGACGAGGGTGGAGACACACGTGATCCGTGACCCACGAGCCAAGAGCCCAGATAAACGTGTGCCAGAGGAGAAGGGTGGTCATCGTGTTTGGTGTCCTGGTGGCAGGATGTCAGGGACACGGGGAGGGGGCGCCGCGCCCCGGTTAGGGCAACCCCCCTACCCGGAGGTTTGATCCCGCCCTTTCCGCATACCCGCTGGTCCCCAGGCTTGGACAGTCCGCTCCTAGGCCTTGGTCCCTGTCTGTGAAGGGAGTATAATCCACAGGGAAGTGGGCTTATGACGGGCAGGGGAGATCCTATAGGCTTAGCATGCCTTCAGTAGTGCCCTTCTATAACGGTCACTCTGCCTCCAACAGCTCTGTCCCCTTGGCCTTCCCCAGTCGAGCAGCCCCCTCCGCCCCCCAAACAGCAGCTCTGAGAAGTGGGTGTGACGCTGGGCTTTTCTCCGGGCCTCGGAAAGCTGCCTTGGAGTAGCTGCGGGTGATGGGCCACCCAGGGTGCCCGCTGCGGGCATTTCAGAGGGCACAGAGGCGCCCAGCTCTTCCCTGGGTGCAAGAACAGCCCAGAAACCCAGTGGCCTGGACGGGGGAGGAGCAAGGAGTATCCAGGCCCCTGGCAGGGAGGATCTTGATGGGGAGCAGAGGGCACCAGGCTTTCAAGGAAGGTGCCATCCCTTCCCCGACGATCCTGCCAGCCTCTGGGTCCCAAGGCTCACTGCCCTTTAGGCTTGTGGATCTGGACTCAGAGGGTCATGGAAATCTGAGACATTAGTGTGCCCAGTACCTGGGGCACCTCCAAAGACAAAGCACTTTCTTTTTGTTTGTAGTTTTTGTAGCTCGTTCACCACGTTTCTAAGTCAAAAGGGAACGCCCTCTGATCCTCCAGGCTGGATGGCACGGTTGGCGCTGACTGCAGCCTGAGCAGGCACGTGGCACACTCTTGGGTGCCCACTGCACTGTGGCTGTGTCCACGGGATGGGCGCCGTGTGCCCCTCCCTGCTGCCCTCTTGGCTGCAGCGTCTCTGGGAGGACACCCCCTCTGCTCAGGGCAGTGCACTGGGGGCAGGCCCCTCCCCGAGGTCACCTGGGGATACAGATGCTGCTGGACCAGGGTCAGAGCCTCAACACTCACAGCCATCCTTTAAAGCCCCAGGCAGCTGAATCAACTCTTCCAGGAATAAAGTCAGGAAACTTACAGCTCAGAAAATGAAAGATTTGTCTAAGCTTTTCTTACTTACTACCCTAAGAACATCTTTCCCTGGGCTAGGCCCTCCGTACAAACAGGGCCTTCCCAAGATTGGGAGCACCGACCCCACCAGGATTTCTTGCAGATCAGGCCCTTCTCATCTGACCCAACCTCGATGTAAGAGGAAAACCCAGGGGGACTGCTGGTCACCCCACACCGAGTGCGCAACGCAACAGGCATGTTGCCCTGCAAAGCAGCAGCATCAGAGCCCGTGGGACCACTGCCCAGACGCGCCCGTCTCCCGGGATCATCCTGCCTCCCTTCGGCTGCCCCATCCCATGGAGCGCAGCTTTGGAGTCTTGCCTAGGGTTGTACAGAAGGGCCTTTCCTTCTTTGGTCTGGGTTTGTCCTGCCTGGGTGGGGAAGCTGCTGGAAGACTTCCCCAGTGAGGACAGTTAACCTGTGCTGGGAAGTGGCCTTAGGGCAGGTCTGGGGAAAGGCCAGCACACCTGGATTCTCCTGCAGGCTCTTAGAGAACCTCGTAAATGGGGGGCTGTGTGCCGAGTCCTGCCCCCGGGATAGCTGCTGATAGCGGGGAGCTGGTGCTGCTTCACAGGGAGCTGAGGCAGCAGGACGGCCCCAGGCCACGCAGTGACCCAGCGCAGGTAACCCTTCTCTGGGGGGAGACCACAGGGTCAGTGAGAAAGTGAATCCTTGCAGGGCTGAGCGTCTGCCGGGAGCTGCACAGGCACAAGGGGGGCGAGGGGGCAAGGAGGACAGAGGCAGACGAACGTGATGACCACACGCCCAGGGCAGGCACAGCCACTGCACAGCCAAGCGGGCCCTGAGACAGCAAGGCCCACAGACGCTCTGACACTTCGAAGGAGCCAGGGCTGAACCCGTATTGTGAGTCTCAGCTCCGTCATCAAGGATTTAAAATAATGATATTGGGACTTCCCTGGTGGTCCAGTGGTTAGGACTCCTAGCCCTCACTGCTGAGGTCTCAGTTTCAGTCCCTGGTTGGAGAACTAGACCCCACATGCCACAGGTTGCAACCAAAGATCTCGTTTGCCCCAAATGAAGACCTGAAACAGCCTAAATAAATAAATGAATGTTAAATAAAAAACTGAGATCAGATTCATGCTTACAAGAGGCAGGGAGAATTGGATAAAGGCAATCAGAAGGTATAAACTTCCAGTGATAAGATTGTAAGGTGTAGTTCGGGCCGAGGCAGAAAAGGAAAGAGGACCTCAACGTAGGTTACCTTTACTCAGGCAAGGAGGGGTGACAGTTGGCCTAACGACCAGGCTGAGCACTGGGAGGGATCAGGGAGGCTCCATATTTATAGGGAGGTTTGTGGAAGTGATAAGGGAAACGTTAATCAGGCAGGATGTTTTGGGTATTCTTTAATTGAGATGGCATTTGTAGTCTGGTAGGGGTTGATAAGTCTTATGGGCAGGTGTAGGGGGTGGAAGGTTTCTGGACAGGAGGTGATAAGTCCCAGATAGATGCAACCGGCCTGGAGCATCAGGGTGGAACTAAAGTTCTATTTTGTTTTCTCTGAAGTTAAATGATTCAGCAAGGGCCTTTGAGACTGTTGTTTTCTTTTCTAGGCCCAAAAGACTCCTTCATTCCAGACCCTGAAATCATTAAAAAATGGGGAAAAGGGCATCGTATTTCTCTGGCTACTTCCTGCTGGATAGGGGCGACGGTTTGGGGTCTGGAATGGAGGGTCATCCTAGGGCCCAAGGTCTCCTTTTTCTGAGCTTGGGGTGAGGCTCTCGAGAAGAATGGTCTTAACCTGATCTCGAGAGATGGCCCCAATCTGTTCTTGGAGAAACCTTTGAAAGAGATTGAAGAGACAGGGTCCAAATAAGAGGAATAGAATGATAAGTACCAACGGTCCCAGAAAGGGAGCAGCCAAGGGAGGATTGGTTGAAACAGGTTTTGGGGAGTGTAAAGGTTTTGTAAGTCTTTTCTGCGGCGTTCAATTCTGTCTCTAAGTTTTTTGACTCTGCCCTGGACTATGCCTGTTTCATTAACAAAATAGCAGCAGTCCTCTCCTAGGAAAAGGCAGGTTCCTCCTTTTCTGCAGTGAGAAGGTCTAGGGCCACAGAAGCTAATGAGTTAATTTGTCTTTGGATTGAAACGAAGGACTCCACTACCTGCTCCATGTCTTCATTAAGTTCTTGGGACAGCTTCTAGTAGAAATCGGCAGAGGTCAAGATGCCTCCAATCCCAGTGCCTAGGGCTACTGCTATGCCAGTCCCAACCAGGAGGGGGGCTATGACAGCTCATCTTTTTCTGTGGGAAAGTTCCCCTTGGGGGTAAACTATTTGTTCTAGCTCTTCCTCTTCGAGGAATGTTAGGCCTGGGGTCAGGAAGACCAAGATGCAGGGTCCAGGGGGGTCTAAGGGGAGGCATGAATATGCATAGGTCCCACAGAGAATGAAGATTCCTGGATTGGTGCAATTATTTGTGCTGTTCCAAAGAACCCAAGTGGAACAGAAGGAGGGAGTGGAGCTTGTAAGACCAGTGTAGTTGGGACTAGAGTGGTCAATACAGGTTAGGTTTGAAGAGGCTGAGAGTAAGGACATTGTCAGAGACTGGCCCATGAGTTGTGTAGTTTTCTGTTGGGAAGGGGAAGCATAGTTGCCCTGTGACAGCTAGGTTGAGGGTCAGGGACTGGCTCTGTGTGGTGAGGGAGACAGTGACATGCCTATCCAACACTGGGATGTGTGTTGTGGGCACTGGAAGAATTGGAAGGAAGAGTTGAGAAGGTGGGTAAGGTGTCAGTTGCCAGACGGAGGTTTTGGGAGAGGCCGTAATTGGGAAAGGAGGTCTAGGTGTTTGTAAGGCTCAGGGGTCACCTGTAACCGGGCAATTATGTTCTTTATAACTTGTTCTTGTTTCTTTTCCCGATTTTGATCTAGTACTCCACCCCCGTCTGAGTACCCCCAGTGGGCAATGGGATAGAAACATATGTTTCTTCCATTTGGCTTATGGCAGGTACTCACGAAACTCCCTCTCTTTTGTACTTTGACAGTGAGTAGGGATTTGGACTTCCCGCCCCTGAGGTTCATGGTGCGTGGTTTTGGAGCTGTATTATACCATGAGGAATGTACGTAGGAATAAATGTCTGAGCAGGGGCAGGGAGTAGCCAGGAGGCTGGGGAGTGAAGCAAGGATAAGGAGCAGGGGAGTCATGGGGCTGTTAGTTAGACAGTACAGAGGAAACAGCACCCCAGGAGTAGAACCCAGCTAGCAACGTAGGCGATACCCACGGAAAGACGAAGGATAGGTGGCCAGTCCTGAGGGGAGACAGTTACTTGGCCTATAGCCAGGATTAAGATTAGGAGTGCAGCTATAGTTAGAGAGACAGGGAGAGGCCAGTCAGGGTGAGGGGCAGAAGGCCCCAAGTTGGTGGTGGTTTGAATCTGAGGAGGAACAGTGCTCATTAGGATGTAGAATGATGTAGAGAAGGAGAGTAAAGAAATCAATTTCGTCTGGAGTCAGGTTGGAGAAGGTTCCCCGGAGCCACAGTTGAAACGCCAGTGTAGTCAGGTCTTTGAAGGACGTTGCTGTCGGGGCGCTGATCCAGAGGTCTTGTAGTAGCTGGGTCAGGAACAGTTGTAGGTGGAAGAGAGTCCGGGTTATTCAGTGTCCTCCCCGATGGTTGACAGGGGTTGTCGCCGGGTGAATTTTAAGGAGGTGGGTGCTGGGAGGGAGACCTGATAGGTGTCATTTAAGGAGGGCAGCGCAGGATTGGAGGTGACCCGTTTTAGGCGAGAGAGGTGTACCCAGGAGGTGACCTTTTCGAGTTTAGCTGCAGTTGGGGCAAGGAGGA